TCCGCGCCATCACGCGTGCCCGTCCCTCGCGGGGGCTGTCCCCATCGCAGCTGGGGTGCAGCTGGCCGCCGGGCTGCTCCCCATCCCTGGGCCTTCAGGGTTGATCTTCCCCTCCCCAGCACGATGTGGGGCTGTCCTCTGTCCCTGGGAAGCTCGCTCCTGTCGCCGGGGGGGAATGGAGTGTGACATTGCTGTCACCCCGAAATCAAGGACGGAGGATGCTGTTCCCATGGCTGTTCACGTCCTTGGAGGGGCTCCACGGACGGACCCCCCACGCATGGCGGGAACACCCCTCCCCTGCCGGGTGTTGCCCAGGCTCCTCTCCTCCATCGCCAAGGCAGGCCTGTCCTCCACCGCTGCCTCATGCACCTTGAAGGAGGGAAGAAGAGGGACTGTCTGCTTCACTTTGGGTCTTCCTGCGAGTCGCGGGATTTGGCAGAGCCTCTTTCTTCCCAAGCAAAGGAAATCCAGCCCCCCAGCACAGGCAGCTGCGGGGATGGGGAAGATACACCTAAATACCCATCAGACCGGCACACGTGGGTGCTGGGGTGTTGGGGCAGCGCCAGCCCTCAGGTCCCCTGCCTTCACCTCGGCACGCTAACGACACTGGCAGCTTTGTGTCAGGACAGTTGCGATAACCCAATCTCATGCTTTAGGGCTCCCAGTCTCATGCTTTAGGGCTCCAGTTCATGGCTTGCAGGCTTCGGGTCCCTGGGTCCACAACTGTCTGAATATAGCGTGGGGTTTTTCTCCTCTGCTTTCCTTTGCAGCGTTAGCATGGTCTCAGCTAGCAACCGACCGTCGCTCTGATGTGGTGCAGGGAACCCTTGGCAGATGCTGCGCCACATCTGGTAGAGCAGGGAGCTGACACGCTTTAAAAGTAGGCCTTAGCTGGTGGTGGCTTTTCACTAAGCAAAGAGACGGGTGACACCTTCCCATGCACAAATGAAAGGGATCCCCCTGCACCCCTGTCACCTCCCCGCACGGGTGGGTAGAAAATGCACTTAACTAAGCGCATCGCCATTTGGTGGAAGATAAGGCTGAACTGTGCCTCCAGATGCTGTCCATATCTTTAAATGCCTGAAGGAAAAAAATTAATCTTGAGGTAAAATAATAAGAAAGTATGGAAATGCCTGATTAGCTCCAGTGGTCTCAAATGGGAAAAAAGTGTCAACTTTTCCTGTAGGCCTGGAGTTAAGGACAGTGCAACAGTACAAGTGGAAATTTATGGTTTCTTATATTCTAGCTTAAACAATTATGGATCAGGAGAAGACTTTCCCCTGCTTTCTCTAAGGGGTGGAGACCCAGTTTTATTTTGTGCCACATAAATACTTGGTGTCAAGAAAAGGATAATGATTCTTAAAAATAACTTCATTCATCAAGAGCTGTAGCAATCAACTCCTGATATACATCCAGCATTATTACTGTTGGCTCAGAAAACACGATGAGATCAATTTAAGCGTTCCTTTGTATGAAACAACCAATTTAAGCAAGTTTTAACTAAGCAAGTGGGCACAATCCCTAGAGAATGCGGTGGTGTTGCAGCTAGGTGTTCCACTACGGTTTGGGCGGGTTAACTCTGGAGTGGGAGGAAGGAGCCTTTATCAAATTGCCTAGAGCAGCAGAATGAAATACACCCTGCAGCTAACTAATACCAGGAACATGTCATAGCTGGCCTGTTTCCAGAAGGCTGGGGAAAACAGCAGCTGCCCTCTCAAGTTCAGGGAGAGCCTGACATTACTGGGCAGCGGGCAGTATCTGTTGAGAGACCGTTCAACCACAGAAGCGTTTTGGGATCTGCTTTTATTTTAGTTACTGAAGACATTTTGCATTAATGACCGATATCGATGTCTGCCGCTACAAGTAGGATCCAACGGCACCTTTCTCGTTGCATGCAAAAGTTGTTGGCTTGACTTCTGTGTGATTTCTCCCCAGTGAACAAAAGCATCAGTCCTGTTTTGCCCTTCTGGGTGAGCAATTTCTTTGTTCCTCCTGCCAACCAGCGCATTTCTAGACCCAAAGCATTCCTGGTCCCGCTGGCACCCCCGTTACGGAGGGAAGAACAGATTTACAAAAGCAACGGTATTTGCTGATATTACAGGACGTTGGTTAGCCGAGATCAGCAACAGATTTAGTAGATGACCAGTTCTGTTCTTGCTGGTATGGGAGCCACCAAGGTTTGCAGGGCAGGGTGAAGGGAGGGGGTTCAGAGGTACCTGGGAGCAGCACATTTTCTGGCTGTATGCACAAGGTGGGAGAGCCAATGTTCTGATTTCTCTGGTATGCACAGCTTTTTGGAAGGCCAAATAATTTAATAAATATGTTGTGTCTGAGTAGATTCCTGATTTCATCATTCTTTTGTCCTCTCTTGCCAGTCAGGCATACATAGCTCAGTGCTCAGGCCCAGCGAACCATGGCCCACGTGAGCGCCAGTTGTGTGCGGCTTTGTTAACACTTTTAAAAACCTTGCTTGGTTTCCACATGCCCCCAGTGGCGGGGTACCTGGAGGTAATAACTGAGTATTCGTCGTTTGGAAACACCTGAAATAGTGTGCTCTGAGTCGGATCTTCGGGTCACTGCCCATTCACCAATTCCCCTCTTCCCCCCATTTTTTCCTCCCAGCTTTGCCATTGCTGCTGGGTGACTCACAGGGAATTAGCAAAATTTATCTGCTGGTTTTTTGGTTTTTTGTTTTGTTTTTTTTTTTTTTTTTGTCACGAGACAAGCCTCCTAAAAAAGCAGAGAGCACAACGATTTTTCAGCAGATTAATGACTGAGACCAGCAGGACTCCCTTGTGACCAGAAATTAGTCTGTGCAGAATGGGGAAAAATGGAGAATTCCAGGCATATTAAACCGGTCCTGATATGAGCACCAACATTTTTGATCAAGAGGAAAATCAAAAAGGAATCTCTCATTAGATGCAAGCATCCCATCTTCATCATGGCTACAGAGAAATCCCTCCACTACTCTGACTAGTCATTTAAATAGCCTAAAATTATTTTTCTAGCCTAACAGTTCAAATGGGAGATGAAGCCAGATGTACCAAAATAACATTTCAAGAGACACGCCCTTCCTAAGAAATAGGGAATGGATGTTTGTTGCAAAATGCTGTTTTAAATAATGATATTCCTGTTCTCCATCTTGTTGCCTTTTGCAGAAATTAGTCATCAAAGTGATTCTCAGTGGTGACAGTCTCCATGGATTTTGGAAAGTGGTGTCTATCTTGTTTCAAGACTGGGACTTCCTGGATGATGAGAGTTTACCAAGATTTCTCTCCCTGCTCAGCTAATAAATGACAATTTACTTACCAAAAATAAGCAAAACCTCTGACCCTATGCACTCCTTCTCTGGAGCTGACAGTAGCTTCCTTTTTCATGTACATCTTTGCCTCTGTTGACCTTCACTGGAAAAATGCTTTCACACTCTAGGCAGGGAGTTGGAGGAATTGCAGACACGGTGCACTTTATTCAGTAGTGCGAGGAATGGTCACTGTCACAAGAATTACAAAACTACATCAAAACATTTGGCGTTGGCTTATCGCAAAATGTCAGCCATCCTCAGAAATGCTGACTGGGATCGCTGCAGACAACGCCCCGCTTCGGGCTGGTATTTATGGCATGTATTGGCTTTCGTTTGCAAACATCCGTTAAGAATTATCCCAGTGGTTCTGGTTCAGCGCCGCAGTGCGGGACCAGACACGCGATGGCGTTTGTCACAACACGGCGAGCGGCCGGCGCTTGGCACTGCACATACCTAAAGACGCACTGAAGTCCTGCCCGACGGGATTTACTGAGTACCCATGTGCTGCCAAGGTCCAGCTAGCCTAAGGGCCTGCAGAAATTTAAACAAGGATTATC